GCGACGAAAGCCAGTCGGACTTCGCGTTCGTTCCTGCAACTAGTAACTTGACGAATGACGGAACAGCCGCATCGCCCTGATACGTCACGCGTATCCGATCACATAGATCCGTTGTCACCCGTTTGATGTGGGCCAACGCGTATGCTAGACGCCGTGAGGGGGCGTCCCCAAGCCCGTTGGGTTTGCCCGTCTTGTGCCCAACGCGGAAGTTGTACTCCGGGATGAAGCCACGTCGCCATCCGTTGGGAGCGGTGAGGCGAATTTATCGCCGTCCTCAAGGACTCGTGGTCTGTGTAGATCACAAAGGGTCTTGGGCCCAAAAAAAACCGAAACTTCACAAGGGCATACTTCATTGCCAGGAGCCCTTTCCGCGGACAGGGTATTTCCGTTTGGCGGCTTCGAGCTGCCTGGACTGAAACGAGACTCGGCCGCACCGGCTTGCAGCAATTCACTACCGCTTGCATAGTCGGAAGCATCGCAGACGACGTTGAACGGCTTCATCTCGTCTGGCAGGGCCCGGACAGAAGCCTCTTGGAGACTGTCCTTGGATATTGGCCTTGAAGCTGTCCAAGGCATCTTGGTCGCGCCAGTCGGTGTCCTTCTGAAGGAGGCACAGCAAGGGTTTAGTGAGACTCGCGTACCCTGCGCTGTACTTGCGAAGGTAGTTGGCTATGCCCAACCACTTTCGAAGATACTTTCGGAATTGGGGTGTCGGCCATGCTGCAATGGTCTTGACCTTGTCTGGGTCAGCTCGAACGCCTACGTTGCTGATGAAGCAACCGAGAAGCTTGATCGCTAGTGCCGCGAAGACGCACTTGTCGATGTTGACGTAAAGCTTGTTCGCTCGCATCACGTCCAACACTCGACGAAGGTGCCCCAAATGCACCTTTATGACCGTCTTGCCTCCCTCACCGCGGTTATGGACGAAGCTTCCGTCGATATACGCTTGTATGAAGACACGCAATGGCCGGAGCAGCTACGTCACCAGGTGGTTGATGTCACTGGGGCGTTAGGCAAGCCCTGCGGCATGACGAGCCTCTCCCGAAGCATGCCCCATGGAGTGCTCACCGTGGTGAGCGGGCTGTCGCTCTCGCGCATTAGGATCTGAAAGTATCCGGCTACGAAATCCAGCGCACTGTACAGTACCGTTCCAGCCATGTTGTTCAACAAGGCATCCTTTCATGGGATTGGTTTCTGGGCCGGCAGCGTCGCGTCGCTCAGCTTGTTATAAGCGTGAACTAGACGCCACTACCCGTTTGGCTTCCAAACGTTTGCGTTGAGTGTTGGGACTTTGACTCCCACACCATGCCTGCCTTCGCTTTCGCAGCGAGGAAGACATCAATGACCTCGCACGGTTCGCCTGGAAGATGCCATTGTCTCGTGTCACAGTACGTTGTGCCAGGCACGATACCGATCTGATACCGTACGCATCTATCTGGTGGGAGTTGGGTTGGTGGACGCTTGTTGACCACGTCCGCGTACTCCGTTTACCAGAGGATACACCGGATCTCCGGGGCTCTTAAGGATCTCAGAACCCGAGCGCGTCCGACGCTGCTTCCTCACCTCTTCCAAGCCGTTCTTTTCCAAGACAGAGGAGGGGGAAAACGCCACCCGAGTGGCCTCAGATCTTATGAGCACCATCTCGGCAGCCTCCCCATCCTTGATGTTGTCCAGGAAAGACTCGACAGTCTTTTCCTCGGGTTTAAAATCTCTGCGGCTTCTGGCAACGGCTCCAAGTAGAGACCAGATTCCTTGACGGGTAAACCGGTCTCGCCATCGAAGATGTAAACAAACGCTTCAACCGGCCGTGTCGGAGGATCCCGGGCCCTGGACTCCGAATCACTGATAGCGACGTCGATCTAGACGAGGTTCAAATCCGACTTTCAGCGGCGGCTTCGTCGTCGACGGAAACCGTGACGTGGAACGTCGATACTCACGTCTGGGGACGTCGTGGTGCCGACTTCTGAGGCACTCAAGGCCTCATGGCGAACAACGTTAACCGCACGGGGATCGCATCTGGCGTCTTCCTCTTCAGCTAAGATATGTGCGACCGTGTGTGATAACTGCAACCGGGCCAGTAGAATCGCGTCACCTGCCGCTGTGTACTGCTTGTTTTCCGTATAGTACAGACCTTGCACTGCCGTTGACGCCGCTTTCAAATTTCATTCACCTCCACCCGCTCGTCGTCCATCTTTAGCTGGTGGGTGGACGGTGGAACGTCGCCATGCAATGGTGTAACCGGTCTAGGTGAGTACATCGTTGGACACATACAGTAATACTTAGCAATGTGAGCAACCAGCAGAATAAGCATATTCCTTACCGTGTCTGCAAATTTGGCTGACCCCACTTGTAGTATCTGGGCTTGCAACTGAGCGATGAAACCGGCGCGACCTGCCGGAGAATCGCCTTGCAACTTGCAAACGTCGTGGTGCGCAATATAGCAGTTGATGATAGCCATGTAGAAAAATCATGGCCAAACGCTTGTAATACTTCCGAAAGCGTAGGTAGAGTTGCAGCGAGTAGCGCTGGAGACGAAGTTGTCGTAGACATCTACCCCGCATATACACCGATATTACGTCGTCATGGCGGCGGGGCAAGGCACCGTCTCCTTCTGTCCTTGTGTACCTGGAAGGCGCCGCTCTGTTACATTCAAATAAACTACATGGTCAGAAAGTAGTAAGTTGTAAAAATAAACTGAATAACTTACCACAAGAGCTCATTGCATAACTACTTCCACACGCCAGCAGGTACATGATGGTATTGTCGGACCAAACAAGAGCGGAGAGCTTCGGAACAGACTTTGACACCACAATCTGGGTTGTGCCACGAGCGGTGTTTTTCGGCCTTTTTTTTCTTTTCATGTTTCAACGATGCAGGAGACCTTTTCTTGTTAGCTTGAATGGTCCCCACAGAATAGACGTCCCTCTCTAGAAGTTGTAGCAAACTTTGTATCGATGTATAGAACCGATCGGTTGCCACCACGTAGAAAACCCCGTCTTTCTCAGTAGGAAGCACAGCGTTCATGTTCCGTAACGTTGCTGCTGGACCAGAGTTATCGTTCACAGGATCCACTTCACTCTTGTCACGTCTATTCGCTCTGTGCTTTTTTCCACAGTAAAGCTCCGACCTTCACACGCAGTTTATCTACCATTATTCGTAATTGCACATGCGTGATATCCAGCACGGCGAGAAATTCAACTTTTCAAATCCAGAATAATCCGACATGGGTTAGTCCAATACAAGCATAGCATCAAGCATGTGAGACTTTGTCATCAAAAAAAATAAAAATAAAAACGTATGCATGGAAGCAGACGCTATCGGGAACACGTACCGGAGGCAATCGCACAGCACGTCATGAAAAGTTTCGTCATGTGACAGCGTACCTGGCAGCCGAAGATCGAGGTGGCGTAGTATGTTGCCCAGAGGAAGCACCTTCCGATGTCGCCATGGGTCCACGATGTACCTGCGTTGTGTTTGTTGCACATGGCGGAGATGGTGTTGCTATAGTCCAAATCTCCACCAACAGACGCATCGCTACAAACAATTACGAACATGGAGTGTGAGAAGCACATCGTACGCAAAACGCATAATCTCCTCACCTGACGGCTTCTTCATCAGCAGCAACGTGTGGGCTCGCTGTCCACACAGATTCGTCAGCTCTTCAGCTCTTAGACGGCGCGCGCTTACGCTTACCTTTTGCTTTGGCCTTGCCAGGCGTCTTTGCCGGTATTTTCTTCTTCGCCGCCTTCCTCGGTGTTGTGATCTCTGCCGCTGTCGCCATGTCAAACTCAGCGTCGCTATTTCCATGGTCTTCTACTGTTTCCACGTAATCTTCGCCTCCGCTGTCACTCCCATCCTCATCAGTAAAAGCAGCATCGACAGCAAGGTTTTCTGCATACAGTGCTGTAACTGGCGCCTTCCATTTTAATTGCGGCGCTCTTGCCAGCAAATTGTAATACCCCACTAGTGCACCCTTCTTCTGGTACGTAGCTGGGGCAGGAGGCTTGCGTGAAGCCACTGTCATTCTAGGCCGCCTTCCCGTTGCTGCTGACGTAGGAGCTGAAACAAGCGGTTCATCCGCAACTCCGTCGCCAAAGTCAGCATCGCGGTCATCCGTACCGTCGACATACCCACGGTGCTCTTCAAGCAGGCGGGATCGTTCTGCGCCTCCCTTTCCCTCGAGACGACGTAGGAAGGCCTCCGCTTCAGCGCGCGTGACGCGGCGGGGGGGCATCTTGGTCCCGCGTTCCGTTTTGGAGAATAAATGGATGGATCAGAGGCTTCTCATTTAAAGCACTGTCATTACGACAGCGTATCTCCAAGGAACTTTCTCTTTACCGTTAGGACCCCAAGCCCTGTACATTGGGGACTAAACAGACTAAACGCCCATTCTATGACGACCCCCACATGCTTCCTTAGCGACGGGGGGTGAGGGGGGGGGGTTAAATGACTCTGGGACTATTGTTTGCGGTACTGACCTCAACCCGACGCCGTACCGTAAACTATACTTCATCAAGTGGGTACTAGACATTACGCAATTCCATGTCTATGGTTAAGACTAGTCGACAAATCCATTTCAGGAACTTCCTGCTGCTGCTGTCAGTTAAAATTCTTCTAGGATGCGACAGAGCTGGTTGTGTTGACTATACTGTCTAACAGCAGCGCCGACTCACAGGAAGCTTTGAACGGCGGTGTGGGTGTAAAAAACATTCGGCGCCTAAGAATGCAGACAGGGCCAACAAAGGATAAAGGCTCTGGCAGGTCGGAGGAGAGAGTACCTGGTGCAGAGAAGTTTCGCGAAAACTAATCAAGTCTGGGGCTACAAAGCTGCAAAAAATAGCAAAGAAAACACTCACTTTCAACAGCCAGAAAGTCAAAGAAACAACATTGCGAATGTTGGAGTGGTGGATTCGAAACGTACAGACGCCGCACTGACTCAATCGGTGACCAACAGCAACAACAAGATACCTGAGATAAACGAGGGGGCGGTTCTGTTAGCAATGACCGCTCAGTACGGAGATGACGCTGTGATCAAACTTCTTCAAAATACACAACGTCCCGGCGCGTCTCAAGTTGCTAGGATGGTTAGAACCACCCAGTTCGATGGCTGGATCGAGCAGAAGAAAACCGCGGGTGGAATCTACACTTTTCTGAAGCTGGACGTTAAAGATGCTGATGTTTTGGCAAAACCAGTGCTGCACACCTGGATCTCGTTCGTGAAGACTAAGCTCAAGGAGGATCCGTACGACTTCGCGCTTAAACTGACAAAGCAGTACGAAGAAGACGCACTACATAAAAGGCTGATGGCAGCCAGCACTACGGCCAGTACGAGAGATATTGCTAAAGGTTTAGAGTTTGCGCAGATAAAGAAATGGCTGACCACAGGAAAAGCGGAAGATGACGTCTTGAAGATCTCACTTGTACCTGCCGACAAGGAGCTCGGGCTCTTGAAGCACCCAGCTCTACAAACCTTTATCTCCTACGCGACTAAGCACCATACACTGGATCCGTATGAGGTTTTGGTACTCAAGTTGGCGAAGAGGCACGGCGAAGACGAACTACCTAAAATGCTAGTTAAAGCGAAGTCCGACTCTGATTTGGTATCCATGGCTGTAAAGCTGGAATCGACGCAGTTTAAAATCTGGAAGGAGAAAGGTAAAACGAGCGATGAGTTTTTTAAGATGCTTCGTCTAGACACCGACGTACGCTATTATAGCGGAGCTATCGAAGCATTTCGATAATGACCTAAATCTTGCTCGAGCACTTAAGGCTGCAAAGACCAAGCTTCAGGTAAGTGGTACGTCAGGTCCGATTGTCGCTCTGCAAAATTTGCAGTTCAAACAATGGATGCAGAGTAAAAGCTGGATTCCGCGTGAATTAAAAAAATACCAAGACCCAAGGTACGTAGGCGTCTACCTTGATTTCCACGACTTCTACAAAGTTAGACACTGAAGTGAATCGAGGATCGCCTACTCGTCGACAAGAACTCTTAAGTAAACAGGCAGCCACCACTTTGACGACATACGAAATGGTAAAAAAAACCGGTGTTTTTCTTTTGTTTATTGAACGGTTTTGAAAGACAGATGAGGAGACCAGTTTGTTAAAGGCACTGCACTAAAATACGTAGAAGAGACGCAACTTCCTACTGTACATGTAGTATAACACCTACTGTTGGCTTGATGCATGCACGAAAGCTGTCGACTTTGCCAAAACATCGGCAGTATTCAGCTTGTGGATTAAGCATTACAATAATACCTGTAAAACAGAGCTGTTCCGGCGTCGTAGGAGAGGAAGACCCGTCAAACTTGTTCAAAGGCTCAAATTTGACAATAACGCCGAATTTCGACCGATGGGCGAAGCGAGGCGTCGCCTTGCGCAATATTTGGTCCAGTATCCCCACGAGTCGGTCTCTGGAGAGTGTGTTGTATGCGCAAGTCCCGTATCACAGCAACACAGAGACCGGGACTACTGGAGGAAAGAGAAACACCAAGCTCTCGGGTTTACCGCAATTATTCTCTGAAAAGGGATACGAAACCTACTTCACCACGGGATCAACGTTAGGATTTGACAATTGGGACACCTTCCTGCCCTCGCATGGCTTTGAAAACGTATGGGACGCCGACAAAATGAAGAGAATGGCGGAAAACATTTTAACATCAGAAGTCAAGACTGGGACAATGACGAACACCGCGGTTTCAGCTGGGGTGCCCATGATGCCTCAGCTTTCGACTTTTAGGAGATTTTCTACTCGAAAATAGAGCAAAACAGGTCGAAAGGGCCCGACAAGGAGAGCCCAAAGTGCCCATGTTCGTCACGCATTACACCATTTCGAGTCATGAGCCTTATGACTCACTGCCCAAGTGGTACGAAGAGTCCGAGAAACCAGATTTTTCGGCCATGTACGAAGGTGAACAGCACGCAAACAGGATCAAAAGGTACATGAACGCGCGGTATTTTACCGATACGGAACTCGGCAAGTTCATGGACCGCATGCACAACGAGGAATTCCTCCACGACACCATCGTTGTCATCTTTGGAGACCACGGACAGGCACCCGAGGTTGACAAGTTTAACTTGCACGAAGAGTCTGCGACGCGCGTACCTGCCGCTATCATTGCTGAAGGGCGATTGGGTAGTGCTGTGGGGCTTGTGCTTAATGACGTAGCCGAGCAGTACGATCTTCTAAATACTCTCGCAGACATTACTGGGTTACCGAAGGGATGCAAAATGGCGTCGGTCGGTCACTGAAGCGTAAGGCTTCTTCCAAAAAGCATGTCGTGTCGACCCGCTGCGCAAGATGGCGATTGTACAAGACCACGAGCGTCTTCGTTATGACGAAATTACAGACTCAATGATGCTCCACGTCACGGAAACGGACTTCCACATGACAACGGATCTGTTACCGCTCCTTAAACCAGAAGAGCGTGCGGAGTGGGAAGCTTTGCGAGAGGATGGACGTCGCATTACCGCATACCTCAAGAAGCGGTGGGACGAGAACTGTCTAGGGAACCCGAAAAATTATATGCATAAAAATTAATCCTAATTTTTTTAATTTTAAATATTAATTTATGACGGTCAACAACGGATCTGTTACCGCTCCTTAAACCAGAAGAGCGTGCGGAGTGGGAAGCTTTGCGAGAGGATGGACGTCGCATTACCGCATACCTCAAGAAGCGGTGGGACGACAACTGTCTAGGAAACCCAAAAAATTATATGCATAAAAATTAATCCTAATTTTTTAATTTAATTATTAATTTATGGCGGTCAACAACGGCAACTTTAGTGAACAACCCTAATTTAGAGCAAGGTCTAGTCAAGTTACAGCGTGGGGCGCGCTAAACGTCGCGGAAAAAGTTAGCCTGCGCTGAATTTAGGTCGCCTGATCTCGAACGGTCGTCTTCAAGAGCCGCCGAGGAGTGTTCTTTTGTGAGAGCGGCGCTCAAGAAACGCAATTGCGCACTACGTCGACGTCGCGTACATCCCGCCAAAGTCTAACAAGTGTGAGCGCTTCATCTCTCTCGCTAAGCTGATGCTGTCTGATCTACGGAAGCGAATGTCTCTGTTTCTGAACTACAATCGTGACTTGTGGGACATGAGTGCGGTGGACAAGGTACGCTCGAGCATGGGCCGGAGTAATGCAAATAATTGAATTATTAATTTTGCTCAGCTCACATCGATGTATTAATTTAAGTATTGCATTTTCGGGTTCCCTGCTCCTCGCAGTCCAGTGCGAGAGCCTTAGTTGACACTGTCAACTTGACAGTTGACCTTACCGGCAAACTGGTAGCTGACATGGGTTTGAACGATTCGGTCTTATAAGTAATTGGGTGGGATCGTCTCGTCGATGAAGAAGACGAAGCGGCACGTATGCAGACAGCGTTCTGGTCTGCAGTGCTCAAAGAGAAACGATGACGATACGCAGGAGTCCATCTCGGCGTACGAGCGAGAGGAAGCGCAGAGTCGTATGTGGAAATTGGTTGCCTAAAATTTTTAAATGGAGATCTGCAATAGTAACAAAACACATGCGGATGGGTCTATTGACACTAGTTAAAAAAAATCCATCAATATCGATCAAGCAGAGGTGCAAGTGCACCACATTACATATGATACTATTGTGTACACCGCCATGCGGGCCGTAGTGGAGTGTCTGCGCTCGATCCCAAAGCGCTTAACCCCGTCAGCTTCGAGAAGTTGCTTGGCTTGAAGCATGGCAGACATGGTTGCGCAGGCTGTGCCACGTATTGCAATCATTATTGCAAGATCGGTGAGTATTGCTGTTCTTACTGCTACGTGACGGTTTTTTTCCAATACATAGTGCATATTGCTATCTTCTTTGCAATGCCCTCTCGTACCCATTACTGCCTTAATGCAGCCGCCAGTCTACCCATGATGTCGCGATTGTAATGCGTTATTGATGATTGGTTTAACTAGTATTTGGTTGCTTTACGAATTCTACACGCAGGTCAGTACTTCATATTATGAAGTACCGGCGTATTAATAGACCTCGAATTCTACACGCAGGTCAGCACTTCATAATATGAAGTAACATGAAGTACTGACCTGCGTGTAGAATTCAAGGTCTTCTATTTGGGCCGGTTTCACTAATATTGAAGGTAGTTGGTTTGGTGTGAGGACTTCAGTACTAATTGCAGTATCGTGCATTCCAGCAATATGTATTGCAGTATTGTAAATGCTTGGAGAATGGCATTGCAAGTAGTATTGATCATTGAATTTTTACTCACCACTGGATTAACCCCTCCATTACCAGAAATCCCCTGCAGAAACCGCCTATTTACGTCGTAACTTACGACTTCATTTATATATTGATTTCACTATGAACGTGCTCTGCCCACGTCAGGGTTCATAGGAATGGGTGTATAAATTTTCGACGGATTCCGGATTCGAAGTTATCAGTGTTACGACTTACCAAGTACACTAGCGGTCTCAAGACCCATAACTTACGACTTTGTGAGCTAGAAAAACAATTTATGTAGCAACAGCTGATGATATACCAGCTGATCGGAGCGCAAAATACCAAGTTATATCATACTGTCGCTTCCGTTTCTTCTCCTTCGCCGGCGTGTAGACGCTCAGAATCAGCCTCATTGCCCAAGCTCACGGCGAGTGGGATTTCTAGAGCTAACCTTACCTACACGACGGCGCTTGCCCAGACGCTCAGGAATTGAAGCCCCACTCTCAAAATCTTCATGCCACATTTGGTAACAAGTCTTGGGCAAACCAGCGTAGGAACGACGTGCATTTGGGGAAAGGAAGCACTTTGCGTCGGGCTGAGAGCAGTCCTCGCAATAATAAGTAGTCTGGAACGACTTCTTGCGTTCGCCTCTGAGCAGCGCACATACCTTGCATGCTCTTAGGCGGCGCTTTTGAAAACTCGACATCGTCACCCAGTCATCAAAATTGAGATGAGTGTGACCTTCTTGCCGACGGCGCTTTCGTGAGCGCGATGCTGGGGAGGGCGTTTGGGCTACCAGCTCGGCGATGCCTTCGGGATTCAGTTGAAGTAGTTGTTTGTGAAGTGTAAGATACCAGTGTCCGCAATACTTTGGAGCGCGCCGTTTGATCATGCACGTCTGTTGTAAATCTGTAGGCGTTTACTAAGGCCAAGTCCAAGAAGCCCATAAACAGCGACTTATAGTATTTCGCAACCGAAACGCTGCCTGGATCGAGTATGACTAGAGGCGGAGATGATCGTGCACATCAACCCCGCTCATCCTCTGGTATTTGCTTACAAGCTTTGGCCATTTGATTGTAGACGATCCCACTCCTTTGATATTTCGATAAATAGAATCTTCAGCCATTACCGGGCCCGTGGATAGGTAGTGTACGGGCTTGCGGTCCCACCATTGGCAAACAAGCATGGTGGGAACCGCAGTAGCACGCGAGAAAGAGAATGTTCCACGCTCAATCCGACGAGGACGAGTATTGCGACGTTCGACAATGCGCTTATTATACCCCACACGGTCGATCTGAATCGTTCCCAATACGTAGACGCTCATTGTGAGAAGCTGGATAGCCAGCGCTACCGATGTATAAAATCGGTCCATGACGACAATGCCGAACCCCTGTGGACGTTCGCCAAGAACAATCTTCATATTGCGGACCACCGCTGCAGCTCCGGTCTTGTTGTTAAAGGCTTCTTGATCCGTATCACCCGCTTCTCGTTTGCCCACATACACTTCAACTCTAAAATGGGAAGTTACGACGTTACGTACACAAACGTTTTTAGCATGGCGTAAGTTACGACTTTAAATACGTAGTACAGCTCCCCGGTGACAATAGGCGGTGATAGAGTCGCAGACCATAAATAACTCGACCCGTATCGACGGGGTCTGTCCGGCATGAACATTCGAGTAGTATTACGCTTAGAAGTTGCTGGAAGTACACCTTCGTCAAAGGAGGACTTACTTGGAAGCGACCAACCGGAAAGAAAGCGCGCCTGTAGAACGTCCACAACAGACCGTAGCTTCCACAACTTGTCTCGTGCCTGTGGCGCCTCGTTGTTGACAAAGTGCATGTCTCTCAATATTCAAGTACATCGATTGCGAGCCATAAACCTTCCGAAATTTCCAGCAGGAAACGCCCCATCCCCCGTCATTCCCCAGTGCTGTGAGAACTGACAATCATCGGGTTCAATATCCTCGCGACCAGTAGCCCGATAACGTGTAAAATTTCGTGCGCTTCATACATGGGCTCTGCTCGCAAGCGACGAATAATTTGCTTCAGGCTCTCTGGTGTTGGTACACCACGTTTCTGCTGGTTCGGCTTTATTCGTTTAGCTTTTGTATGCACAGTCTGGTTCTTGTAGTGATTGGTCTCGTTCGCTACACGAATCCGCAGAGATTTGGGCACGAAATAGTAAAGTAGCAGCATCGGAGAGTCTGCTAGATATTGTAGCTCACGGACTGGTGACGCCACATCGCACGACAGCCCAGGGTACTCTGATCGGCCACTCTCGAACTCAGATGGCGGTGCACTCCACTCCATCTCACGAAGGACCTCCATGTTTATAACGTCCAGGGCCAAGTGGCCGCTCAAGGTCTGGATAAAGGCAGCGTCCATACCAACTGCTACTTCCTCAGAATCATCAGAACTGCTCGGATACTCCCTCCGCGTGATAGCTTCTTCGCCGCTGCTGTCACTCTCGTCCCTCCCATCTGATTCAACAGACTCATACCCTTCAGACAGTCCATCAGCCGCTAACACGTTCACGTCACTTGCGGCGACGACGACTCGGTCATCGACTCAACGCTCTCGCGATCCTCCACACCGAGTCCACCTTCTCCGTCTACGCTCGGGATGTCGCCCCCGGTATCATTACTGGCGTCGCCGACTGAGACCCTGCTAGCAGCGGCTATATCATTGACCGGGGTGGCTGTCTCCTCGATGTCGGATTCACTGCTCGAGCCGAACGTGTGCTCAATCGTGTTCGCCGATAGCATGATGGACGTGTAGATTTGGGATACCGTCACCGTCTCGTCAGCTGCAATATCTCCGTCGACTACACTACCTCCGTCGGCCTCCGTACCGCTGTCATCACTGCTATCCACTGAGAGCCCGGACTCAATCACGATGGTTACTACATCGCATTCACCTGCGTAGACATTAGTAGTGATACTGCCCGATAAAAAAAAGGACTCTAGACGTACCAACGAATGACTGTCCGCTGGGGGAGGAGTATCTCCACTTGTTTGAGAGCCCTGAAGGGCACTTAGACGTGCAGCCCGCTGCTCGGAGCTGCCGCCAAAGGTGCGTGAAGTCAACGGTCCGCACAGCGTCAGCGACCGCTGTCTCTCTGTTAGCCGCGCTTGACCGGATTCTTGCCATGCTGGCCACTGACCTGAGCTGAGGACTCATCACATGAGAGCGATCTGCAGCGCACACACCCTTTCTTTATCCGGACCAAATTTGACCTCTCCCAGCTTATATTTTTTCGCATATAATTTAACTTGCTATCAGTAAGGTGTCCGTTTTTTCGAGCCATTTGCTGTTTAAGCCTCATTCTACGTCGTAACTTACGACTTTCGCCCTTCACAAAGTCGTAAGTTACGACGTTGGTAACGGAGAAGTTAAGGTGACGCGTGCAGATTGTATAAGATTTTTAAAGCTGTGAGATACGTTTAATAACCTTACGACATACTTGGGGAAGGCTTGTGCGCCATTGAAATTTTCCAAATCTCATTTTTTTTCCGAGTCCATTGCTTGAACTGCACATTCTGCAAGGTGTCAATCGTCTTTCTCTCCGAGATAACAGCGAGCTCGTCATTGTACTGGCTAA